TTTCCTATGACTAGGAAAACCATAGGTGACAAAGGAGGAAAGGAGCAGGAACTGCTCCAGGAACTTTCCACATGTGGGCTAGGATCTGGCTGAGGCATGCCCTTCACACGTGGGACTCTGAATCATTCCCCTTCTACACCTTCATGTCAGCTGGGATCCCAAGAAACATTCAGGGACACTCTCGTGTCCCAGCCCCCCCGGCACAGCAGCCGGGGCCTGTGCCATCCCAGCAATACCGAGCTTCTTCCTCCAGCTCTTTGTGTTTCTGCTGGGATATGTCCTCCCCCAAGGAGGGAAATGAGGTAGGGGTGGGAAGGACTTTCACTGCAATTAATGCAGCAAGATGTACCTCTTAAAGGTGATCTTTTAGGTTCTTTTCAGCTCCAAACACTACTCTCGTATATATACAAGAATATTTCATTGAAAAGAATGGGACATACCATGACTCTGTGAGACCCTTTTCTATCACAGATGGGTATATAGAGCCACTTACCCATGTGATATTGTCCAGCTACAGGAAAGGGATTCTCCATTTCTTTCATCACAGATACAGTCTTCACAGAGTCATCAAGACAGGAGCTGGTGCATGGGAGCAGCAGGCTACACGCAGGTACTCAAAGCAGTGACTGACTAGGGAACGCCAGGCCCTCCAGGCAGCGGGAGGACAGCACGGCAGGGCCGGCAGCTGGAGGGACAGCGGCACAAACAGGTATGGCAGGAAGGGGTTTTTACCCCCACCCCCCGACACTGAGGTACAGGGCAGGAAAGAACGATGGGCAATTTTACCTTCTTGAAAACCCAGTCTTGCTCTTTAGAGCTCACTTTTGTAAGGTGCCTCCACAGGCTCTGTGCTGCTCTCTGTACTGTTCCTGTCATCTTTACCCAAATCTCTGAATTATAGATTCAGTGATGGCACCTGGGGAGGGGGAGGACTGAGGAAGAACTCAAGAACGATGAAAAGACAGAGCAATGCAGATGAGAGGAGATACGGCAGCGGTGAAGTGGCTACAACGCAAGCAACGCGTTCTCCAGCAATGGCTGGTGAGCCAAGGAACACAAAATCAACATGCTCCTCTCTCCGGTAGACCAATGTTGAATTTAACCCTTGAGCCACACCTGGGCAGCGCTCAGTGACAACGCTCTTTCCAACTTCTCCCTTTGCTGTAAGAGTGCTTCAGCTGGCATCAGTCAAATACCTTCTGTGGCCTCTAAACTGGGCCGAGCTACGGTATCTACTTCAATTGGCCAGGCCTCCACGCGGTCTCATCTCCTTCTCCGGTTTCATTCCTTCCATGGATTTTGTCTCTTCACAGACTTCTCCACTGGTCTTGGGCCCATGGTTTCCCTCAGTCAGACTTCTTCAAAGCTGCACTTGAAAGAACCCACTATTGTCCAAACTTACCATTTTAACGTAAGTTGGTAACATTCAGTGCTCCTAAAACCTCAGCTTCTGAAGGCGAAGAGGATGAGATGTTAATCTCAGCTTTCATTAAGAACAAAAAAGTTTTGTTATTTCCCTTTGAGTTTTGGAGGAAAGCTTGAGAATATAAAAAATGAAAATTTCAGGCTCTAAACCAGATAACACACAACTTACTATTTCAAGACACTATTTTTAAAGACCAAGATTTCACTCGTCTCATGACTTTTGACCAGAGACTTGGCTGAGGATTTAAGTTTCCCCTCCATCACACAGGAGGGGACAGGAGGGAGACACCTCAGAGCAGAAACTGGGACCCCCAAAATGCCCAGTGTCTTCCGACACCCTGTCCTGACAAATGTGCCCCAATTCTCAACATTCCCGGAAGATCTATGGCAAAACCGCCATTTTCCCCCCCGCTTCCGTGCCAATGCACGCAGCGGCTACAAAAAACAAGACCAGCAGCGGGTCTGAACCTTTCCAGTAACCAACCTGGGCGATGACAGGATGCGACTTCATTGAGCATTTCTCCTCTTTTTTTTAAAAAAACGGATTGCTTCAGGAAATTACCGTAACCCTCCTCCGCCCGGTCACCTCCGCCGCCTTACAGGGACGGCAGTCCCATCGGGAGGTGTCTGGGCAGTGGACGCTCGCCACATGTCGTGTGTGCCCGCTGCGCGTGCCTTCGCACATCCCCGCCATCGAGCTCTCGCCCCAGGACTGCCAGGCGCGGGCAC